ATGATCCATAACCTTGTAATTGGTACCGAAATAACAAGACCTGTGTTTTAAATGGGAATTTGACTCTGTGTTTGCTGTTGTCAATCTGTTCCATGAGAACATAGCTGGAAGAGCAGGTCAGAGGGAAGAATGAATGTGATTGAGGTGCAGGACCCTGAACTCTTAGACCTTAATGATCATCTGAGCTAATGCTCACCTTTGATTGGTGAGGAAACTGAGGCCTAGATCAGTTGTATCACTGACACAAGGTTTCCAGACTCTTCCATGCTCCTTTGCTGCTTTAATGAAATGCTCTCTTAAGAAGGAAAACTTTCCTTGGTATAAAAGTAATAATTTTCTAGTGATAAAGTCCCACAAATTCACATGAAAATGTATCACTGCTCAGATGGGAACAGAACAAAAAGGGGTAGCTTTTGATTTTGCTGAGTGTTACCAACAGTTTTATTCTTACCAAATAATTCTTTCTGAATCTGTTCCAAGTCCCCACATTTTCACTATTAGAATCACCCCCACAACCATTGTCTCTATAGACCATGGCTGAGATGAAAATACATTCTTCAGAGGATTTGTGAAGTACTGCAATAATGAATGCAGGCCTTAGAACTAAACAGGAGTGATCTATACTCTGGACTGACATTGCTGGGTTTGTGATTGTGAGCAAGTTTTTAATCCCTCTCACCCACTTTCATTCAAACTCTCATAGGGAACTCATTCCATACCAGTTTCTTCATCTAGAACAGTGATTTTCAACTGGTGTACCATGAGAGGATCTTGGTGTGCTGCGAAAATTTTTAAAGATCATTAATTAAATTATTTTCAAAAGAAGTTCAAAGCACAGTAAGCAAATTCTTTCTCTTTCTTTCTCTTTTTTTGTCAACATAATTTAAGTGTGCTGCCTAACTATAGGTTTGAGTGTACCGTGAGATTAAAAAAATGTTGAAAAATACTGCTTTAGAAAATGAGGACCAACCTGAAAAAACAGAACTGTAAGGATTACATGGGATAATCTTTAAAATGGTCATTCTTGCTTTTTCCACATGGCAGACATTTAACTATTCTGGTAAATATCAATGCATATAAAATGTGATGTGAGTTGTATTACATACAATTACCATATGTATAATTTAAATCTTCTGCTAATGGGGTTGACTGCCCAATTTCAAAATTCACCATCAAGAACACACAAAGATAAATACTTAGATCTTTGGTTTCTATCTTCTAATGACTAGAAAAAAAAGTCAGAACATATGATGCTCTAATGCTGACATTTAAGGTAAAATAAGGTTCTGATTTACCAGCGTCTTGTGAATGAGTCTTGGTAATTAAAAGCTTTAAAGTTTTTGTTTTGTTTCGTTTTAATCTCCATCCAGCCTATGATTAAAAAATGCTTTCAGCAGCCTTATGTTTCTGGCCAGCAAAACTTAAGAAAGCTATTATCATGTGGGGAACATACAAGAGAAAAATGGATGTGTTTTCTTCAACACCTGTTTTCATTAAGTAAGGGGAAGGAAATGAAAGGCTTTTCCCCCCCAATGCTTATCAAGTCAGTGCCAGGAGCATTACATATGTTATCCCATTTAATCTTCAAATCCAAAGAGGTAGAGACTGTAGTCCATGCTTGGGAAATGTTGTAAAACTATTCCCCAAATTTTGAAACTTAAGGAGGGATATTTCTTGAATTAAACTTCAAATGAATAAATACAGAATTCAATCCAAGTACTGATATGAAAAGTTACAAGAAAAAGATAGGATAGCATTCAGGCCAATTGCAGTTTGCAAACATGGTAACATTATTAATGTTCTTACTAAAGAATAGTGTCATTAGATAAAGCTACAGGACAGCCACATGAATCCACAGAAGAGAGAGGGAGAGAGAGAAGCAGGTGTCATTGTAAGGATAGGACAATTCAGCCAGTGAACTTGGAGGAACCTCATTCCAGTGCTTGGTTTTCCATTTTGTGGAGATAACACACCTGAGGCTATATTAGCTTCATTTTGTTAAATACCCAACCAACTTCCCTTTTTCTCATTTCATGCTCAACAAACAAACTCCTGGTTGTAATCTGACTTTCCATGTTGGTTTGCCCACAGGAAAAGAAAGTTGCTAAACACCCAGCTGTGAGGACTTTATTCCAAATCTTATTTATTTTGAGAAATTAATAAAGTGGCTTTCTGGTTTTATACATTAGTCTTGTGATTGGCTAATATAAATAGATCCACCTGACATAATCAAGTTTCTGAATCTACCAAGGGGAGGCCAAAATCCTGGATGGTGGTGTGTTCATCAGTTAGTTAATTCTAGATCATGTTGAAATTAAACAGCCTGCCTGCTCTATTTGTGGACCACTTTATGAGACCACCCTCCTGCCCAATAGCAGTTATAACCTGTGGACAAAATATAAACATAAACCATTGAAAAGTGTTGTAGAATAAACCAGGGATGGTAGAATTTGAAAGGGATGTGAAATGTGAAAGAGGAGAAGAAAACCGGGTGAGCTCTGTATTTAAGTAGCTCTTTCCCTAAGGGCAGTTTGCACTTCTGGTCTATAGAGAAAGAGAATTCAAGAAGAAAGCAATAGTCTTACTGAACTGGAGAAACACACAAAATGTAGAAAGTGGAGTTCAGAGTTGTCAACGTTCTAGAAATTGAGTGTATGTGTGGGGAAACCCAAAATGGTTGGGGATACAGAACAGGGAGCCCTAAAATTTGTGTTAAAAATTCCAAAGCTTACACCTAAATTTTGCATATTTGGGACAAAAATCCAAAGACATCAGCATAAAGCAGTACTAGGTAAGCTAAATAACTCCGTAACAATTTTAGTTTAGTGTTAGAATTTGGAGGTGAAGTCCTGCCAAGTAGATAATACTGGTCAGCAACATGGGCTTTTAAATGAAACCCCAGGAGGGCCACACACTAGGAATAAGAACCACATCCAAGACCAGTGAGGCTACTGCAAGACAACAGTCAGCAAATTATGGTCTATGGGCCCAATCTGGCCCAGTGGAGCCCCAAATCTGGCTGTGCCACTAGTGTATGTTATTTGTGGCAACTTTCCCACTACAATGGCAGGATTGAGCAGCCATAAAAAAGACCATATTGTCTTCAAAGAATGAAATGTTTTCTATCTCTCTCTTATGGAAAAAGTTTGCTGACCTCTATTTTAGGAATAAGGACAAAACTAAAATAGAGCAATCTTAATATAGCCTTAAATGAAACATCTTCCAAATTAAGTTGATCTGCTGGCATTTTAACCTCCTGTCAGGATGAAACAAAACAGTATTTAGAGGAAAATAACTTAACTCAGAGTCTGTACAACATATTATACTTAATATCGAGCATGTAAGAAGAAATTACTAGATATGTAAAGAGTTAGGATAATGTGACCCATAATCAAGGGGAGACAAAGGTCAACAGAAGACTCCAGATATTAGAATGAGCAAAGACTTCAACAAAATTAAACTAGAAATCTAGAAATACATTAGGACTTAAAATTTCATCTCTGACCAATGAAAAGATTTAAATTTATCACTTATGTCCTTACCACAAGAAAAGAGTTGGACAAACTAGAACTAATGATTCTTCTTGAAAACATAAGAGAACTAAGATTAGCTGGGTTAACTACCACCCGGACTCTGGAATAAGAGGTATATATTTGGGGAGACATTGCTGAGAAGGCTTACCTGGAGCAGAAGCTGCTAGAGTCATAAGCTGGCTCAGCTGAAGGCCAGGTATGGGCTAATATGAGATAGAGAAAAACTCTTGTGGAATAGTCTTAGCAGGGCCCCCCAAGACTTAAAGGCTTTTCCTTAAGGAATCCCACCAGATTCTCACAGAGAAGATCTGAGAAAGATGCTATCATGCTTTTGTCAGGAGAAAAGAAAGAGAAATCACATGTATTTCTTGTGAAATCTTCTGAAATGGATATGACTCCTCTTTCACTCCAGAGCCTTGTTTATAACAAATATGTTTTTCAGGGGAAGAAACTTTGCCAGAGCCATATTCTAGTTGGATGAAAGGTATTCTTCTCACCACAAACTCCTCTCCCCACCCAGCCTTCTTATGTTACCTTGGAGAATTAAAAAAAAAAAAAAAATCAGAAAACACTGTCAACAAATTTCAGGAATTCAAGACAATAGATTGGGAATATAACAGCCCAGAAAGACAGCAGAAGAAAAAAAAAAATGCTGTACTACTGGGGAAGACACAGCCCCTAAAGGCCAACTAGACACTAAAACACTGAAATCTGACCAGATTACAGAGTTCTCCTCTTCTCCATATGTTCCCACCACATCAGCTGAGCTCCAGTATAACAGAGGATAAAACTGAAGTGTTAGAAGACACAGATTCTCTTTAAGGAAGAGTACTTAGAGAAACCCAAAGTCAAGACAAATGGGACTGAAGGAGTCAAAAGCTCTTGAACTACAACAAATATGAACAGCCTGATTCCTATCCAAGTTACCATAAATTCTCACAGTGAATTTCTAATTATCTCAGTTCCTATTACCCAATACAACATATTTGGTAGTTAGCAACAATAAATTACAACACATACCAAAAGGAAAGGAAAAAAAAAATACACAGTTCAAAGAGACATTGAACTGTTGTTCATTGTCAAGTTGTCATTGAAATCAAACTCAGTCATGAGAGTAAAAAGACAACCCATGTAGAATGGGATAAAATATTTGCAAACTATACATCTGATAAAGGTTAATATCCAAAAATTCTAAGGACTCAACTCAATATTAAGAAAATAACTTGACTTAAAAATGGGCAAAGGACTCAAACATTTCTCAAATGGTCAACAGGTATATGGAAAATAACTCATTGTCATTAATTATCAGGAAAACACAAATTAAAACCACAAGTAGTTGTCATCTCAGACCTGTTATAATGTTATTATAAAAACAAAAAATAAGTGCTGGCAGGGATAAGTGCTGCCAGAAGAAAAGGGAACCTTTGCATAGCACACTGTTGGTAGGAATGTAAATTAGTGCAGCTAGTGCTTGCTTCAGCAGCACATATACTACAATTAGAACAATACAGAGAAGATTAGCATGGCCCCTGCACAAGGATGACATGTAGGTTCATGAAGTGTTCCATATTAAAAAAAAAAAAATTAATGCAGCCACTGTGAAAAACAATATGGAAGTTCCTCAAAATACTAAAACTAGAAATACCATATAATCCAGTAATTCATTGCTAGATATGTATCCAAATAAAATTAAATCAGTATGTCAAACAGGTATTTGTATTCTCATCTTTATTGCAGTGTTATTCACAATAGCCAGGATATGAACTCAACCTAAATGTGTAAAAAGAAAATGTGATAGTGAGATACTCTTCAGCCTTCATAAAGAAGGAAATGTGGATAAACCTAGGGGAGAGTATGTGAAATAAGTGAAACACAGGAAAATAAATACTACATGATCTCACATGTAGAATCTAAAAAAGTTGAACTCATAGAACCAGAGTGGAAAATGGTGATTACCAGGTGCTTGTAGAAAGAGGGGATTCAAGAGATGTTTGTCAAAGGACACAAAATTTCAGTTATATAGAAGGAAAAAGTTCAAGAGATCTATTGTACAATAAGTTGACTATAGTTAATAGCAATGTATTTTATACTTGAATATTGCTAAGAGTAGATTTCAAGCATACTCTTCACAAAAAAAAAATTTTTGTGAGGAAATTCATTTTAATTAGTTCAATTTGTTTATATATTTTAAAATTTTTATTAGCTAATTAAAAATATAAAGTCAAACTCAGAAATGACACAGATTATCAAGTAGGCATTTTTTAAAATATATGATTAATATGTTAAGAGATATAATATAAAAGATAATAATATGAATGAAAGGTGAATAACATAAGGGAGATGGGAACTCTAAGAGACAATTGAGAGGAAGTTTGAGACATGAACAACACTGCCAAAGAAATGAGGAATGTTTCATCAGTGAATTCAACATACCCAAGGGAAGAATAGGTGAACTTGAAGATAAGTAGCTCAATAGAAAATTCCCAAATTGAAATGCATAGAAGGTCCATAAAATGTGGAACAATTTCAAAGGCTCTATTATGTATACGTAATGTGAATACCATATAAAATGAAATATTTGAAGTAATAATGGCTGACCCTCCACAATTAATGACAAACAACAAACCACATAGCCAACAAAGCTCAGAGGACACCCAAAGGGATGAATACCAAAAACACTTATAGGCATATCATATTCAAATTGCATAAAATCAAAGAAAGTAGAAATTCTTCACTGAAGAATAAGGGTAAGAATTACAGAGAGCTTCTCATCAGAAATTATGCAAGCAAGAAGAAAATGGAGTAAAATATTTGAAGTTATTGAAAGAAAACCCCTACAAACCTCAAATTATATATCCAGCAAAACATTTCTTTAAAAATGAGGGGAAAATTAAAAATTACTTGAAAATAAACAAAGGAAAACCATTTCAGCAGACTTTCTTTTCAAGAGATGTTAAAATCATATTTTAAGGCAAATGGAGAATAATATATGTCAGAAATGTGAATCTACCTACATTACCTGCTTGTGTTTCTATAAAGAAAATACCTGAGGCTGAGTAATTTATAAA